TATATATATATATATATATATATATATTGATATACGGGTATAGTCACCGCTATACAACAAAGAGCAGCAACAGCAGCAGCAGCAGCAGCAGCAGAAGCAGCAGCAACAATCGTCTGCCACAGAACCCGAAGGGGTTTCGCCTGTAGTTGAGGTGTACATTCATCTCTAGCGAACGAAACAACGAAATGTCTCCGCATTATAATAAACAAAACCCAAAAAAGTATTAAATGCATGCTGCCTATAGAAAGGCTTCTGCTGTTGCTGCAGCAGCAGCAGCAGCAGCAGCAGATGCAGCTGCAGTGTTGCTGCTGCTGCTGCTGCAATAGCAGGTGTAGCTGCAGTGTTGCTGCTGCAGCACTTTACCGCCAGAAAGCAGTAATTCTGCTGCTGCTACGCGACTATGACTAAAGCCCAGCGTAAACAGCAGCACTTGCTGCTGTTGCTGCTGCTGCTGCTGCTGCTCCTGTTGCTGCTGCTGCTGCTCCTGTTGCTGCCGCTGTTGCTGCAGCTGCAGCAACAGCTAACGAACTGAGGCTTGAGCTGAACAGCTGAACGCATGCAAGCGAAGCTGCTGCTGCTTTTGCTGCTGCTCCTGCAGCAGCAGCAGCAATCTTCATAGTTCATCATGAGGGCCTTTAACATACGGCTTTCCCTCTTTTGTGTGCTGCTGCTGATGCTGCTGAGCATCACGCGGCATGTCAAGCATCTCCTGCTGCAGCTGTTGCTGCTGTTGCTGCTGCTGCTGCTGCTGCTGCTGCTGCTCCTGTTGCTGCTGCAGCTGCTGCTGCAGCCTTTCAGCAAGGATGTCTCCCAGCGTCGCCTCGAAGTTGCCAGCAGAAAGGGCTTGCTGCCGCAGCAGCACCTGCTGCTGCCCGACGTACAGAATATGCTGCAGCAGCACCACTACAGCAGCAGCAACCAACAGCAGCACGAAGACGCAGCAGCAGCAGCAGCTAGAGCACCGCAGCAGCGGACGTGGAGCGGTGTTCAAGAACTGCACACAGAAGCAAAACAAACAGCAGCAGCAGCAGTCAAGCCCAGCAGCAGCAGCAGCAGTAGCAGCAGCAGCAGCAGCGGACGAGCAGCAGCAGCAACAGCAGCCTGGCAGAAAGAAGGAACCGAGACACAACCGCATCGCTGCATTCACCAGCCACCACAACAGCAGCGGAGTATAACCAGCAACAGCAGCAGCAGCAGCAGCAGCAGCAACAGCAGCAGCAGCAGCAGCTGACAGCAACTGCATAGTCCGCGCTGGTAGAGACGAGGAAGCCGCTGTGCTGCAGGAAGCACAGAGCCGTCACCGGCAGCTCATGCGCCGATTGGCTCGCAACCAGCGAAAGCCTGCGGCACCACAAACACCGAGGGTTTAGGGTTTAGGGTTTAGGGTTCTATGGGGGGTCGAGGGTTTGGGGCTTAGGGTTTAGGGTTTTGTGGGGGGTCGAGGGTTTAGGGTTTAGGGTTTAGGGTTTTGCTGTTAAGATATCCATCTATGAGAGCCACAATCTCTGCCTAGACAAAACCCCTCTAGGGTTTATGTTTAGGGTTTAGTCTGTATAGTCTGTAAGGTTTAATATCTAGGGTTTAGGGTTTAGGGTTTAGGGTTTAGGGTTTATACTTTCTATCAAAAACCTTCGCGGTGCCGTTGGCGAGGCCCACAGCCAGCAGCTGCTGATCAGCAGAAACCGCCAGCTGGCAGCAGGGGGAGGAGGGGTCGCAGCACATGCAGCATACCTGCTGCAGCTTCATTCCCCCTGCTGCTGCTGCTGCTGCTGCTGCTGCTGCACCTGCTGCTGCTGCTGCTGCGGGAGAAGGATCGTCAGCCTTCTTGTTGCTGCTGCCGCCAGAGCCGTCCGCTGTATCCTTCACTACTGCCCTGCACATACACCCCTAAACCCTAAACCCTAAACCCTAAACCCTCGTATATTCTAAACCCTATTAAACCCTAAACCCTAAACCCTAAACCCTTCCCAAGAAGCTCTCAGCCTCTCTCCAATCGGGACGAAGCACCAGCCCAGCAGACGCAACAATTCAGGCTGCTGCTCGTAGCTAGCTAGCTAGCTACCTAGCTAGCTAGTCAAAGATAGCTGGATATTTTAGCTAGCTGGAAAGCTAGCTAGCTAGCTAACCAAGTAAAAAGCCAGCTGGCTAGCTGGCTAGCTTCTAGCTAGCTAGCTAGCTAGCTAGATAGCTAGATGGCTAGATAGCTAGAAAGATAGCTAGAAACATAGCTAGCTAGCTAGCTAGCTAGCTAGCTGAGCCCACGTACCAGCCAAAGAGGTAGGATGGGCCCCGAACGTCGCTGGCTACGGCGATGAGCCGTTTGGGGGAAGAAGGNACCAGCCAAAGAGGTAGGATGGGCCCCGAACGTCGCTGGCTACGGCGATGAGCCGTTTGGGGGAAGAAGGACCGCCAGCTGCGCTCGAGAGAAACCTGCAACCAAACCCTAAACCCTAAACCCTAAACCCTAGACCCTAAACCCTAAACCCTAAACCCTAAACCATATTTGTATGCATGCTGATTCCCCTGATGGTTTTTCTTCGCTGCTTCTGCCGGTCGCTAGAATGTCACCCAAACCCCCAAACCCTAAACCCTAAACCCTAAACCCTAAACCCTAAGCCCTCGGTGGTTGCTGCTTGCCTGCAGCATCGAACGTTGAGGGTTTTGTTTGTTTTAGGGTTTAGGATCTGCTGCGACAGCGGCGCCTCCTCTCCTCGCCACCGCCACACAGACAAACTGCCGCCGCCCCCACAGCAAACAACCTGAAAACAAAAGAAACAAATAAACCCTTAGGGTTTAGGGTTTAGGGTTTAGGGCTAGGGTTTAGGGTTTGGGGTTCAAGGGTATACACTAACCATAAGCAAAAGCAGCAGAGAACACGCTGAGAGAAAAAACAAACGCAAACCCTTATACATCTCCACTCATGAACTTAGAGGTCTAGGGTTTAGGGTTTAGGGTTTAGGGTTTGGGGTTTAGGGTTTGGGGTTTAGGGTTTGGGGTTTAGGGTTTAGGGTTTACAAGCTCGGAGTCATCGCTCATTGAAACATCTTTTATATCGCCTTCATGGCCCCGCAGCTCCGCCACCAACTCTGTGTGAATATGCTGCTGCTGCTGCTGCTGTTGCTGCTGCTGCTGTGCTGCTGCTGCTGAGCCCTTTCCCCGCTGCTCGTCGACCATCAGCCTCCACACGCTGCAGCAGCAGCATGTGCATCAGCAGCAGCAGCAGCATGTGCATCAGCAGCAGCAGCAGCAGGTGCAGCAGCAGCAGCAGCAGCAGCAGGTGCATCAGCAGCAGCAGCAGCAGGTGCAGCAGCAGCAGCAGCAGCAGGTGCAGCAGCAGCAGCAGCAGCAGGTGCAGCAGCAGCAGCAGCAGCAGGTGTTGCATTCTGCTCTGCCTCAGTACAAGAACCAAAAGTAACAATAAAAGAATAAAAATAAGAATAA